TTCCTAGGCAGGGCACTTTACAGACTAAAGGATACGCTACTGGACATGATCATGCCTAGACAGGGCACTTTACAGACTAAAGGATACGCTACTGGACATGATCATGCCTAGACAGGGCACTTTACAGACTAAAGGATACGCAACTGGACATGATCATGCCTAGACAGGGCACTTTACAGACTAAAGGATACGCAACTAACTTTCAGGGATGGTGGTTGAACATGACAAAGCAAGCCAAGCTTGAGGGCCAACCAGTCCACAAGCAGTTTGCCTTGGGCAGGTTCTCTAGGGGCAACACCTGGGGACAAAGGGAACACTGCACAAATCAGGCTACATCACGCCCCCTGAAACTATCAAGGAAGTTAACCCCGTCAACAAATGCTTAAAATCGGATTTGTGGGTCGAAAGGTGCAAATATTGCAGCTTTGCTGTAAATGCAATTACATCATATAGATGAACGAAAAGAAGATAATATCACAGATGCGTGCGTCTCTGGATACAGACATAAATGTCCAACCTTCCTGGATGGGTTTGGTGATAACATATGAAGAGACATCTTCTGTTTAAGAACTAATATTCTGCTCCAGCTCATACTGGCAATTTGAAACACTCCTGACACTTTTAACCAGCAGCATACAGACTGAGAATGTACTTTTGACATACTCCACCTCCACTGTTACAACACAAGACAATGAATGGTCAAGAACAAGTATCTGGAACTAGATACTCTTACTACCATACAAGAGAAACACTAACCCACTTCAACACGTGTATTTGTGTATTTGTAGTCTGGATATACTGGTTGGTCTTCAGCCCAGGAAACCTAGTCTTTGAAGACTATTTTCAGGTTAAATTTGTATTGTTAACCAATTTGCTATTACATTCACTTTCAGCTCCCCAATGTTGCTGGCATGTGATTCACAGGCTGTTGTAGTTTCACTTACTAGTTCTCTCTCTGACGTTAAAAATAAGGACTTTTCCCCCCTAAACACTGCGAGATCTCTAATCTATAAAATTGTCACAGCTGTAACAACAATTATTTTTCTTCGTAGCATGTAATTTGATAAAATTACAATTCTGTTTGATTTCAGTTCCAACAGTTCATGGTATGCCACAGACGTCATTTCAGAATCGTCGGGTAATGGATACTTTATTTACCTCTTAAGTGGTACTTTAGATACACCCTGTTTCTGTATTGTTTTTTTTTTTTTTATCATCATAGACTGCTGGAGTTTTGCACAAAGTTCTCAGTGCTGAGTCTATGAAACCTTTAAAACTATTACGTCACATACAGGTGAAACATTGTAAACATTCTGAAATGGAATGATAGTTTTTTCATCTGTGTGAAATTAGTTGCAGACATAAGGTACTTCCTTAGACAGGAATCTTATGTCATAAATTGACAGCATTTTTGCATCAAATGAAGTGGCGTTGAAAATTGCCTAGAAAAATCATAGCAAGGTCAGATGTCAGATAATACAATTCATAGGCATTTAGCAGACATGTCCATGGATGTCGGATCAATAGGAAAAGTATTCTATTTAGTTATTGAACAGTTTGTTTGTAAAGAGGTATATATTGTGTGAGCTTATTAAATCCAGTAAACCAGTTACCAGTAAATATGAACGGATTGAAGTGTTCAATGGAGTGACATCATAATGCCTTTTAAAAAAAGCTAATTAATTGACAGGTTACCACCTGAATGCCATTGCTTGTAAATATATTAACACCTGAGCCTTCTAAACACTAGGGAATCACAAACAGAACCCAGCATTGTTAAATAAGCTGACAATAGCAGAAATTATCCAGTAACCGGCATTGCCATCAGTGGTTCTCAACCATGTTAATGCGGCAACCCTTGAATACAGTTGCTGATGTTGTCATGACCCCCAGCCAGACCATTCTTGTTGTTGCTACTTCATAACTTCAATGGATATATGTTTTGCCATGGTTTTTGGTGACCCCTGTGAAAGGGTTATTCAACCCAAACAAGTATTGCCACTGGCAGGTTAAGAACTGCTGATTTACAGATTGAGTTACAGATGGGCTTGCAGTGTTCGCGTCTATTTGCTGCCAAAGGTTTAAATAGCCTCCAAACATCTGCTTCTAGTTGGTGAATAATGCAGAGGTCAGTGTTGGAATTACTTTGTTTCTCTGTGACCTCTAAAAAAAAACAAACTTTTCTTACCGTTTTTTTCCCCCCGAGTGACACACATGCATTGTGCTTGTTTATGGCTGAGCTGGAATATTTGTGCCTTTCGGCCAACACATCCAACTTCTTTGAGCATTCGTTGACCTGGTAACTTCCCGGATAGTTTTGTGGGACATTTATTTACCTATATTGTCCCTGGGGACCCGTTCAGGGCATCCATGTGTAAACCAGTTGGCCCCCAAGGAAAGGCAGGGGCTGATCATCTCCGCAATCCAAGGAGGCTTCGCTAAGTGCAGAGCTGACACTCTGGTCCTGGGCTCACCCAAGGAATCGTCACGTCCTTCTCATGCTTAACCTCACATCCGTATGTTAGGCTTTCTAATCGTATAGGCTGTGCCCTGCAGGGAACAGCTGCGGGTCCGGGACTTCGATGGCCACACAAATAGGTACATTCTTCTTCAGCACATTAGACATCCTAAATGTTGTTTCATCTGGATATTCAGCATGACAGTATGGGAAAAAACATGCGTCCGGCATTGGCTTCCCCTTTTTGATCTCGCCACTGGTGAATGGTGAATGGTAATCAACATGTTAACCTTTCTGCCAATTAGTAGGACTTCTTTTGGGTCGGACATTCAGGACTTTGTTTCTGATGGGAGCCAGATAATTTCTGAGCACCACATCTCTGGGTGCCACAACAACTCGGTGCAACAGATCGACAAGTGGGCTTTACTCATGTTTCAGATTAGTTTTGATAGATGTTTTCACCCATGCATTGTGGGTGGGCTGATGTGAACCAGAATGGGCATTTCATCTCTAGAGGCCATCAGCTCTGAGATCCCTTGCCAGCTCGATTTAGGTCACAAAGGTGAGCCCTCATCAGTGGCGCACCATGTGGACGTGCAGCAGGAGCCTGCCTGAGGAAATATAGAACAAACCCAGAGCCAGCTGGCGCCCAAGGTGAGGTGGGAGTGTGCTGCAGGAGCTTGTCTGAGGAAATATAGAACAAACCCAGAGCCAGCTGGTGCCCAGGGTGAGGTGGGAGTGTGCAGCAGGAGCCTGCCTGACTAAATATAGAACAAACCCAGAGCCAGCTGGTGCCCAGGGTGAGGTGGGAGTGTGCAGCAGGAGCCTGCCTGACTAAATATAGAACAAACCCAGAGCCAGCTGGCGCCCAGGGTGAGGTGGGAGTGTGCAGCAGGAGCCTGTCTGAGGAAATATAGAACAAACCCAGAGCCAGCTGGTGCCCAAGGTGAGGTGGGAGTAACTTCTTTTAAACATCACAACAGCCTTAAGTTTCTCCCACACCTGTGATATATCAATGCGCTAAGCCACGCAGAGTAGTTTAAACATTAACCACTCTGTCATAATTTGTGTAATGCAATCTTGCCTGGTGCAACAACTGCACATATTCACTTATAACTTGTTATTACAATTATAACATTTGATTTAAAAGTTACCTAAATACAGTTAACAGATAAAGCCCTAAATTTTCAATAAAAATGGTGTTTCAGATAGTTTTATTTACTGAGTACTTTAACAGATTTGGACCACAATAATTTCCCTTAACAAAAATAGCAGCTGGCAAATAGCTCTGGCACCTCACCCTTTTGATTTAAAAGTTACCTAAATACAGTTAACAGATGAAGCCCTAAATTTTCAATAAAAATGGTGTTTCAGATAGTTTTATTTACTGAGTACTTTAACAGATTTGGACCACAATAATTTCCCTTAACAAAAATAGCAGAGGGGGTTGTTTACAAGAAAGGCAAAGAGAATATAATTAAATTTATTTCAAATCCAAATAAAAGTATACATTTTTTTAAAGAGAAATGAATGTACATTTTTTAATCTGATGATACGTATATGTTTAATTTGTTTATAAGTAGGAAAGAAGAATTCAGCAGGTGTTAATTTCACAACATTTTACAAACAAATTCTTCACTTACCATGATTTTGCAGCCACTAGAGTAGTGAATATCCAAATTTGAGAACAAAACTTCAAAGTTTGTTCAGTTTCCTAACAAATTCCAAACTTATAAGTTTCTGGGTTAGTTTAGCACTCAGGGGCTCACAGAGTGCTAAGCAAAATTTCAGAGAGAAAAATGGGCCATTACACACACACACACACTATTTACTATTTACTTTGTACAGTTATATAGACTGTAGCTGCAATGTTTTCAATGTAGCTTAGCCATAGTATAGTACTGTTTCTTTGTTGAAGCACTTTCCTTCTCTTGCACGTTAGCAGTGGGGCATTGCCTGTGTAAACTTATCTTAATCGCTAGATTCCGAACAGCTGATCGCTTAGCACTGCTGGTGAAATTCACCGTCTGAATCACTCCCCGAAAAATCTAAATTTTCATTATCATAATTAAAAACATCTGACTGAAACCATTTCAGAGCTTTGGCCGCAGAAAGACGCATTCTGCGACTTTTACTTGTTGTTGGAACATTGGTATTCATAGCAGTCAAAAATGAACTAAGAAAATGCACTGTTGAAAAAATTTAGCTATCAAATCTGATCAATGTATGCACGTGTGGCTTTAGATACAGATGTTGCTTAAAAGGAAATCATTCAGAGTGACTTTTCCTGAATACTTTAATCATAGTTCCCAACATTAGAAACAAGTACAATATGTACAATATGAAGCAATATGTACGGCACACCCGACCGACATTGACAGCATTGTTTGGGCAAAAAAAGGACTTCTCAGTTAACGCTGACACCGTTGCTTGGGCCTAAAATAGTTAAACCACTACCAAAATAATATTTAATGGTTTCTTATTTCTTGTAATAGTATTGTACAGATTTTAACAAAAACCTGACACCTGTTTCATGTTGCAGTTTCCTGGACAAACAGATTCAAGAGGTCGAGGTTTGTTATTTATATATATTTTTCAGTTGTGGCTTAGGTATTGTGAACATGCTCTGTAATGCCAGGGTGCCAGGTTCGATCCCTGCTGATGACGATTTGTCTTGCTCTGGTTTCGAAAGTACTACGAGAGCTGACCGTGCAGAAAGTAGTGGCAAACTACTGACTGTAAAATTTGCCTAGAAAAACAACAGCCAAAAATGCTGGGGTTGGTCCTGCAACATCCTGTAAAGGATACGCAACTAACTTACAGATTTTCTATGGGGGTGAGGGGGGGGGGGGGTACCTTAAATGGTCTGAACTCCCAGGTTCTAGTGTCCCTGCTTTTTACGACCTGGAAAAGGGGTGGGGCTAAACCCCCTTACACATTTTGTGTGTGTAACACGTGACGCAAAGATTGCCACCTTTTTTCCAGGAAACAAATATTAAACCATGATGAAACAGGTGATGATTTGAATTTTTGCTTATATATGATTTCATAAAGTACTATATTTTCCATTATAAGTTGTTTAACCTAGAAATAGGATTTCAAAGTGGGAAACTGATGTTAATGCAGTGTTTCTCAGGGAACATCACATACACTCTGTGAATATGTGTATACACTAGTTATGTGTGTGTTGAGGTGTGTGGAAGAGGGCAAACTATGCCGAAGATATAAACTCAGTTTAATATACAGTGAAAAAATCATCATTAAAATGTGACCACAAGATTTTGGGTATAGTAACTGGGGCATTTGTGGAGTCAAGCATGCATATATGCCCATTTTTTTCTAACACAATTTATAAACGTACATACATACATAAAACTATATATTTTTTTTTTCTGTCTTGCAGGTGGAGCTGTGGGTGATGCAGAAGCCAAGGTACCACTAGTTAGAAAAGAATTGCTGACTTTAATGTGATGCTAACCTATACCTGAGTATGTGGCAGTCCAATGTTTACTCATTTGCGTTGTCTGTCCCATAATGCACAGCAACAATTTTGGATTTAGTGGCAACAGAATGACCTAATTCAGCAGCTTTTATTTTCCTCGAGCAGCCACAGTGCTCCTGGTAAGTGCAGCATGGAGCATTTAGTGCTCCGCTGAGCACTATTTTGGAACCTCTACTCCACAATGCTCCTGGTAAGTGCGCATGGAGCCTTTAGTGCTCCGCTGAGCACTATTTTGGAACCTCTACTCCACAATGCTCCTGGTATGTGTGCATGGAGCCTTTAGTGCTCCGCTGAGCACTATTTTGGAACCTCTACTCCACAATGCTCCTGGTAAGTGCGCATGGAGCCTTTAGTGCTCCGCTGAGCACTATTTTGGAACCTCTACTCCACAATGCTCCTGGTAAGTGCGCATGGAGCCTTTAGTGCTCCGCTGAGCACTATTTTGGAACCTCTACTCCACAATGCTCCTGGTAAGTGCGCATGGAGCCTTTAGTGCTCCGCTGAGCACTATTTTGAAACCTCTACTCCACAATGCTCCTGGTAAGTGCGCATGGAGCCTTTAGTGCTCCGCTGAGCACTATTTTGAAACCTCTACTCCACAATGCTCCTGGTAAGTGCGCATGGAGCCTTTAGAGCTCCGCTGAGCACTATTTTGGAACCTCTACTACACTGTGCTGTTTGTGAAATTGATCATTCACTGACAGACCATTATTTATAGCTGTCAATACCATAGCTGTCAGTTACCATAGCTGTGAGTTTACCATACCTGTCAGTTACCATAGCTGTCAGTTACCATAGCTGTGAGTTACCATAGCTGTGAGTTACCATACCTGTCAGTTACCATAGCTGTGAGTTACCATAGCTGTGAGTTACCATAGCTGTGAGTTACCATAGCTGTGAGTTAACCATAACTGTAAGTTACTATAGCTGTGAGTTAACAATACCTGTCAGTTACCATACCTGTCAGTTACTATAGCTGTCAGTTACTATAGCTGTGAGTTAACCATACTTGTCAGTTACCATACCTGTCAGTTACTATAGCTGTCAGTTACCATACCTGTCAGTTACTATAGCTGTGAGTTAACCATAGCTGTCAGTTACCATAGCTGTCAGTTACTATAGCTGTGAGTTAACCATAGCTGTGAGTTAACCATAGCTGTCAGTTACCATAGCTGTCAGTTACCATAGCTGTCAGTTACCATGAACACTGTCAGTTCTATAGCTAGTCAGTTGTCAATAGCTGTGCTTTTAACCATAGCTGTCAGTTACCATAGCTGTCAGTTAATCATGGCTTGTCAGTTAACAAGTGATATTATGAAAGTTGAGTTAACATCAGAAACCTGTGAGTTAACCATAGCTGTGAGTTACCATAGCTGTGAGTTAACCATAGCTGTGAGTTACCATAGCTGTCAGTTACCATAGCTGTCAGTTACCATAGCTGTCAGTTACCATAGCTGTCAGTTATTACTATCTGTGAAGTTATTCAGGTACTGGTAGAGTTAGAGACCTTAATTTCATATTTTCCCTATTTAATATGTCTCAGAAATCTGTAAAACATGCCATGTATCAGAGGTCATCAGATGTTTATTGTATAATATTCTAGACCCATTTGTCAAAGTTTGCCTTTGTTATAACATGGATGTTCATAAAAATGACTGTTCACAGATAGATCTTGGCTTGCCACATATAACAAGTGAGATTATGAAAGTTGCAGTTGAGAGACATCAGAAAGGCTTGATGCATCCTCATATATATCAGATCCTGACTCAGGTATAATTTGAAATCTCATCAGTCTCGTTGGTTTTTAAATGCAGCACATTTATCAGCATCATTGTCAAGGTGATCAAAGACATTTGATTGATATTCTTTGGTGTCATCAGAGAAGCATAGATTATTCATTTTAACACCAACCACAACTCCTGGCAAATCCATTATGTTTAGTTTATAATAACAAATACAAATGAGGTGACAATAGACATTGATTGTACATTCTTTAGGCACAAGGAGAAAACTGTAGTACACCCTGATAGGGAAACAGTTAAAAAGGGAACAGAGGCAGGTGGAGACCAAGAGAGAGCGGATACTGGATGTTTAGACATCAATGTATGGAAGATCATCGCACATACTGGATGGTTAGACATCAATGAATGAAAGATCATCGCACATACTGGATGTTTAGACATCAATGTATGGAAGATCATCGCACATACTGGATGGTTAGACATCAATGAATGGAAGATCATCGCACATACTGGATGGTTAGACATCTATGTATGGAAGATCATCGCACATACTGGATGGTTAGGACATCAATGTATGGAAGATCTTCGCACATACTGGATGGTTAGACATCAATGTATGGAAGATCGTCTGTCAGGCTCAGAAGGCTGTGTATAGACATGACTCATGGCATAGACTACAAGACAGGGTTCGTATTGGACCTGGAAACTGCAGCCATAACCTGGAATTTGACCTGGAAAAAGACATACTGACCTCCATTAAGACATATCTAACTGGAATGTTGACCGCAACAGTGGTAGAATTGAAGTCAAACAACTATCATGGGAAAACCTGCAGTCTTCAACATTAGGCTATGATCCAGCAGGAGCATGGTGGATGTTCTCTTTTTACATCAGTGTTTGATGTCTGTTATTTTTGTTGGCGGGCCTTAATCTCTGTCCATTTCCCTACCTGTCCCCTCACTTATTGTCCTACCTGTCCCCTCACTTATTGTCCTACCTGTCCCCTCACTTATTGTCCTACCTGTCCCCTCACTTATTGTCCTACCTGTCCCCTCACTTATTTACTTAACTGTCCCCTCACTTATTGTCCTAACTGTCCCCTCACTTATTGTCCTACCTGTCCACTCACTTATTGTCCTAACTGTCCCCTCACTTATTGTTCTGCCTTTCCCCTCACTTATTGTCCTACCTGTCCCCTCACTTATTGTCCTACCTGTCCCCTCACTTATTGTCCTACCTGTCCCCTCACTTATTGTCTTATCTGTCACTGCCTTCCTCTCTCTTTCTTTTATTTGCCGCTCTTTTTCTCTCTCTCTCTCTCTCTCTCTCTCTCTCTCTCTCTCTCTCTCTCTCTCTCTCTCTCTCTCTTTCTTTTATTTGCCTCCCTTTCTCTCTCTCTCTCTCTCTCTCTTTCTCTCTCTCTCTTATTTGCCGCTCTTTTTCTCTCTCTTTCTCTCTCTCCCTCCCTCCCTCCCATCCATAAAAGCAGTGGGCATAGCAAGGTTATGTGTTTCCCAGTGCAGAACATTTCATGTTCACCATCCCCCCCCCCCCCCCCCCCACACACACACACGCGCACATTAAATATATGTGTAATTTAAAAAAAACATTCGCCATAACCCCCTCCCACAATGATGATGCCTGGTGTAGCCCGCACCCTCTTCTTGCTACCTTCTTCCCTCTATCTCATCTTATTTCTTTCTCTTTTCTTTCTTTCACATTGGGAGAGGGTGGGAACCATAAAAGAGACCTCACCTAGATTTCCCAATTCTGTTTTTGGCACACAGTGGTCTTACTGCCTTTATCTCTTGATCCTTCCCCTCTTCCTTTGCTTACTCTGTTCTCTCTTGTGGTCTTATTTTCTACAGTTTTCCTTACCCTCTCCTCTCCCATTTTTCTTGTTCACCCCCTTCCCTTTCCCCCCATTTTTTCTTGTTTTTCTACATATGCTGTGCTGCCCCATAACTGTCTTTTCCTAGTGGTTGTGTCCAGTACACTTGAAATTGTGTTATGGTTGGGGGAGTGGGTGGGGTTTTAGCCTAGTGGTTGTGTTTGTTTGCAGTTTTGGCATATTTTTACTCTCTGTCTTGCCACCCTACCATGAACATATTCAAGAGAAAAGTAACAGACTAAACTGCACAGCAGAAATGGTGGGTCTGAGAATAAATACAAAGAAAACTAAGATCATGACAAACAGTCCAAACCAACAACCAGTGACCATAAGTAACCAATCACTTGAAATTGTAGAACATTTCAGGTATCTTGGCAGAGTGGTGTCCCTACTGGGAGGGACAGAGGAAGACATACAGTCACGTCTGAACAAAGCTAGAGCTGCTTTTGGAAGGATGAGGCAAATCTGGAAATCCAACAATTACTGCAGAGGAACGAAACTCCCGACTCTACAAGAGCATCATTTTGCCAGTTCTTCTTTATGGAGCGGAATGCTGGAGAATGACCAAAAAGGATGCACACAAGCTGTCCATCTTTCACCACACATGTCTACGTAGAATTATCAAAATTTTCTGGCTAGATACAATCTCAAACACTAAACTACTTCAAGCCACAAACCAAGAAACTTTAGACAGTATGATTACCAAGAGATGGCTTGGTCACGTTATGAGAATGACTTCTGAAATACCAGAGGGAAAGAGAAAACAGGGGCGCCCAAAACAACATGGAGACGACGATGGAAAGTGACCTGAGTGCGGCATCTTTGACATGGAAAACTGCACTGAAGATTGCACAGGACAGGAAAGCATGGAAAGTCCTCTCTGAAGCCCCATGTGCCACTAGGCATAACGAGAATTGATGATGATTGCCACCCTCCCAGCTACTTTCGTTATCTGTGTTTGTCACTGTCTCCCGCCCCCCCCCCCCCCCCCCACCTCTCTTTCTCTTGTTTGCTTTATGTCTGTTTGCCTCTATCCATCACTTCCTGTTTGTATACTTCCCTCCCATTCTCCTGCTGAGCCTTTTTTCTCTCTACGGTTCTCTCCCTCTGTATGTTTGTCTCTCTATACTATCCCTCTCTCACTACCTGCTTTCTGTCTACATCTCTCTCCGCTTGCATCTCCATCTCTACCTGTCTCTTCTCTTTCCCTTTGTCTCTGTCCCTCCGACTCTCTTTGTTAAATTTTTCCTTCTTCCATATGTTTCTTTCCCTTTTTCCTCCTCTTCATCTGCCCATCTCTATCTGCATTCCCTCTTTCTGTATTTGTCTCCCTCTTTGTCTTTCGCTCTCCCTTCCCCACTGTCCCTCATCATGTCTCCATCACTCACTCTTTTTGTCATGTTTTCCCTCCTGTCTCTCTTTCCCTTCTTTCCTCCATCTTCTTTAGAGTCATCTTTAAGCTGTCTCTCCCATTCTTACCTTAGCACCTGTCTTCCTGCTTCTGTTTCTCCCCCCCCCCCCCTCCCTCTTTCAGGTAACAGGTCTGGAACAGACAGAGCTTAAATTTGCTCCCCTCTGCCACAGAGTCTACAAAAAAATTTAAAAACATCCTTGCCTGGTATACCCACATATGTGCACAGGAATAAAGTACCTTGGGTGCTCGGTACACCCTTGAACAAGACAAAAATACCTTGTTTCAGTATTACTCCGAGATACCCTTGAAAAAAACTAAGGATACTTTAAAAAGGACCTTGGAATTGATTGGTAAATTTGGCTCTGAACCCTGATAAGATGTATCATCATCATCCCGTAACACTGCATGTCGTTGGGTCACCAGTTTCTGTTGTCTGGCTGTCTGATCATCTCTGTCCACCTTTGGCGGTCAGTTGCGATGGGCTTTATGGTTGCATGCCTGAGGCCTGTTCAGTCAGTCAGGTTCTGTAACCAGGTCTTTCTTGGTCTGCCTCTTCTCCTCTTTCCCTCTACTGAGCCCTGCAGTATTGTCTTTGAGAGGCCGTTAGATCTTATTACATGTCCATACCATTGCATTTTTCGCCTTTTCACTGAAGTTAAAAAAGATTCATAGTTACCAATGTGCTGTATAAGTTTATGGCAAACCTCTTCGTTTGTAATGTGGTCTCCGTATGATATGCCAATAATGTTTCTGAAACATTGGATTTCTAGTGCTTGTATCTTTCTGTCAAGTACAGCTGTGTAAGTCCACCAGCCATATGTAAATGTACTAATAGCTAGTGCTCTGAACAATTGAATCTGTTTAAGAACTGTTTTTGGATCTGCATAAAGTTTGCTGCTTGGCAAGGACTGATGTTGTCTGGGCAATCCTAGACATGATTTCTGGTATTGACCTCTTAGTCACTTCAAATGGATCCTAAATATTTGAAATGAGTCACTTGTTCTAATTTGTGACCTTTTATGTAGATTGATGAAATTAAGCCAGCTGGATTTGTGTTTTCTGCGTTTATATACTTGGTTGATGTTTCATCGAGTAGATTTACAAGCTCGACTAGTTCTTGTTCTTCTTCGGCCAACCCATCGATGTCATCTGCAAGCCTTTAGTTCGTTTTAGTTGGACATCCGATACCAACTGTTCCATGATGTTGTTCTAGGGCATCAGTCATAATTCTTTCTAAAAGGATGTTGAACAGTGTTGGGAGATAGGAGGCAGCCCTGCCGGACCCCTACTGTTGTTTGGAACCAGCTTCCTGTTTGTCCGTTTAGTGTAATAAGATGTATAGGCTTAGATATAATGCAGAATCCAAATGCCTGATTGTCGCTTCTCAAGAAAGTGTCTGTCAAGTCATGAAAGCTTTTCAGTATTGTTTTGAACTGTGTGTATACTTAATGCTCTAAGGACATACTTGAGATGAACTAGCCTAACAGTATTGAAGAGCATTATCAAGCAAAAAAGGTTAGAATCATTTTGGGATCTTTTAAGAACTTCATTACAAATTGACAGAATAATGTCGTTCTCTGCAATGAGGAGATAGGATAAACAGTATGCAACCTTCCTTCCTATTTGCAAAGCTTCAGTAAAGATTTTTTTCTCATGTACCAAAGGAAATTCCAACAATCTCTTGAATATCTCATACAGTCAGATTTTGATTAGTATGAACGAT